TTTATTTCTTTGATTAACCCCCCCCCCCCTTCCCCCGGTCTCCTGTCCCCTTCCCCTTTGTGGGCCTATTATTATTTTCTTTGAATTCCTAATCAGTTACAAATTATTTATCATTTAATGATTAACGTGTCGTTGCCCTGTCCTTTTTGTGTTTGGGGTCCGCCTGGGCTCCTTGCCATTGGTTCTTGTTGCTGGGTCGTGTGGGGGTTGCGTTCATTGAACGCCACCTTTCCTTGTTGATCTTGTTTTTCATATTTTGTGATCATAAAGGTACATACACATATACAGTAAACAACTTGATTTCCAATTCAGATTTTGTTGACTTATAATATCTACTGCCAGGGCCTTTTTCCCCTTCTTTGCTGTAGCCTGTATCAGGCTACTTCCCCAAGCCAAATTACTACCTTTTTTCCCCAAAAAAACAGTCTAAATTTCCCCTTCTGGCAAATATTTCCCCTTTAACTGAAGAATAAAACTTGTAAAGAAACTTTCTTGTTTTAAAATAGATAATTGTTTTGTCCAATGAAAGCTAATAATTCAATAACCCAATAGAGGGATACCTTGATTTAATACAATTGATGTTAACTCAGAGCCTCAGTCTGAGTTTGCAACTTTCTAAAAACAGCATGGGAAATCCCTGCTGCCTTATTTTTTAGTGCACATGTGATTTGTTACGACAATATGGCGACCGATACGATGTCACTAATGTAAACAATGTCACAGAACAAGAAGAAAATACGATTGAGTGAGGTTTGTAATTGTTTATTAAAAATTGGATGAATTGATGACCTTGTGTCCGAGTAGCACAACATGCCCAACTGTCGGAAATAGCGAGCCTAGCACATCAGTGCCAGTAATAGTGTAAACTGATAATAATGTACCCTCTGAATCAAACCAAGAACCCTCACATGACCAACATAAAATACTATAAATAGGAAATATGAGTTAATATAAAGGGTCAATAAATTGATCTGTAAAAAATGTTTTTTACTCCTGTTGGACAGAAAGCTTAGTACTATAGTAAACCTTAAATGTGATTGGAGGAAGATATGCAAATAAATTATGATATTCCCCCGAAATGTGTGAAAATATGATATTTTCCCCAAAAGTGTGGAAATCGCGCATTTTTCCCCACAAAAAGGGCTAGGGCGCCTTCCCCAAAACGTGTGAAAAGGCCCTGACTGCAGTAAACAGTACTGTATATAATAGACTAAGATAGTTCAAGATCTTTGTTTCTTTATAAATAAATCTTACCTGTACTTTTCTATAGTGAAGTCATTGTCATTTAAACTCATTTTCACTATTTCCTCACTTTACAAATTTTCTTAGACTCTCTACTGTAGACCTAAAGTTGACATGATACGATGATACTGTACACAATGTCACTCCTGAGCAGTGTTCGAAATTAGCAGTAGTCCTATAGCCCCTGACTACTAAATTTCTCCTCGGGCTACCAACTTTTCAGTAACAAAATAGATAAATACAGAATCCCTAAAGAAAGCCCAACACGGCAAAATTGAAAATGTTGCAGGCTCGGTTTGATTGAGCCTGTTCATGGACGGTACTGGAAAGTGCAAGTTACCGTCCACGCCCCCTAGCACCGGCTTAAGCAGAATTCAACATTTAACATGAACTGGTAAAATTTAGAATTTTGAAACATCCGCAGATGTTCATATGGCGGTTATCATGGAACCTTCAATGTGACACGGTAGTGCCATTCCATGAAAAGCGGCATATGGTCCCCAAGTAAAAAAATGCGTGTGCCCTAAACGAGAAAACAATGGGCGGAACTAAATAAAATGGAATTTTGAAAGGGGATCTGAGGTTATGAAGCCTGCGTATCACAGATAAGACGTCAAAAGACAAATTTAAAAAGCAGGCAACATATCCTAAGGGTGATTCAACAAGCCCGACCAGGCTACTGTATTTTCAGAGGCAATACAAACAATTGTTTTGAACAAATGAATCATGCTAGTGAAATGTATTTTGGGCTAGTGAATATTCCAAATTGGTAGTCCGACCAGTCTAGTGGATTCAAATCCTAATTTCTTACACTGCCTGAGTCCTGTATTTTCTATAATCTAGCCCAATGGACTACACAGTACATTGAATTAAATCCATGCATTTGTTTAATTAAATCCATATTCAGTATACTGGCATGCAAGCAGTTCCCGTACAAAAATCATAGTTACTTAAACATTATTTTTTATTACGCTCACTCACCAAAATTTGAATTTTACACATCAATATTCGGCTCGTCACACAAATCATGGAAATTCCATCATGTTCTAAACATAGAATAACCCTTACTTATGAGGCCTCAAATGGGGTACCGAAATTATCCATTATTTTGTATGAAGAGAAGTAGTTCCCGTACATAAAATCTAACCAATTGTAATTATACAATTTTATTATATCGGACCTATTTTTCATTTACAATTGTTGAACAGACCATTATCTAAGAGATAAATAGATGTAATTCAGGAAATAGAGCGTATAGACTAAACGCGGGTATCTATTACCCGGTACCGTTACCCCAACGCATTCACATGCAATAACATGCTTGTATGCATGATATTTTACGCATCAAAGCCATAAAATTATTTTATATAGTAATATTGGTCAAAATTCTGATAATTAAACAAGTTTTCATGACATTGCCTACTTATCTGTAAACAGGTGGTATTAGTGGAAAACCCTTTAACAAGCCTCACGTGTAAGTATTTTTGCGCATGCGCGCAAGGACGGAATCCCCCAGAGAAAACAAGGTCACGTTTTGACGACGCACAGGTGAAAGTGATTTAAAATGAGACTTTTTATACGTACTGCCGAACTGACACTTAGATTTTGTCTTGTTTATGTATCTGCTTGATTTGAAATGAATTTTTGAAGAATACAAGCAAAAATCAAGCGTTTAAATGAAAAATACGGGTACTGCTTCTGTACGGGAACTGCTCGCATGCCAGTAGTCTAAATTAATTTCTCAATCTAGAAGTCACAGCACAACTAGAAACCCTACTGTAACGACACATGTAAATTTATTTACTTTCACTTCCTCTTTTACCAGAATAATGATTTTTTCCTGGTAAAGATGACATCACATATTTGATGACATCATAAAGTGTCAAGGTAAAAGTATTGTATGGAAAGCAATTACTGTCATGTTCAGCACACACTCATTGGTTAGCGATGTAATAGTACTACAGTACAGTACTGCTGTACAATCAGCACTTGGTTTTCGCAAAACTTATTTTGCAACCTTTAAATGTTGTTTTTTTTTATATTAGACTCTACATATAAAGTACAGTACCCAGTATAGTACAGTATAGTTTTTAATGCGAGCAGTTCCCGTACAAAAATCGAAGTGACTTAAATATTATTTTTAATTACGCTCACTCACCAAAAAATTAAATGTTACACATCAAAATTAGGCTCGTCATACAAATTATGGAAATTCCATTATGTTCTAAACATAGAATAACCCTTAGTTATGAGGCCTCATATGGGGTACCCTAATTATTTATTATTTTGTAAGAAGAGAAGTAGTTCCCATACATGTAATATAACCATTATAATTCTAATATGTTGTTATATCGGACCTATTTTTCATTTATAATTGTTGAAGAGACCATTTCCCAGAGTAATGTAGGTGTTATTCAGGATATAGGGCGTAGACTAAACGCTAGTATAGATCTATTACCCGGTACCATTCTCCTAACGCATTCACATGCATTGCATGATAAATTTACTCAGTAAAGCCATAAAATTATTAGAAATAATAAAAAAAGATCAAATCAGGTTTTCGTCACACTGCCTACTTATCTGTACACAGGTAGTTTACATGCAAAACCTTTTAACGGGTTTCATGTAAGTATTTTTTGCACATGTGCGCAAGGACGGAATCACCCAAAGTTAACACGGTCATGTTTGGACAACGCATAGGTGAAAGTGATTTAAAATGAAACTTTTTATATGTACTGCCGGATTGACACATTAGATTTTGTCTCGTTTATGCATCTGATTATTTTGATATCAATTTTGAAAAATGCGAGAAAAAATCAAGCATTTAGACGAAAAAAACGGACCCGTACAACTTCTTTACGGTAACTGCCTGCATGCCAGTAATAAATGTTTAAATACTTAATACTGAATTAAATTCACTTTCTTGTCAATATCGCTTGTCCAAACTGAATAGTAGATTTAAATCTCACTAAATAGAAAGGATATATCGTGGACTAACCAGTTAAGTAATAGAACTAACCAGTTAAGTAATAATACTAACCAGTTAAGTAATAGAAAGAGCACCGAAACACGAGGCTATCTAATTTGTACCGAGTATAAATCAGATTGCCGAGTGTTTTTGGTGTTCTTTCTATTTTGTATCATAGTCAAACATAACAACACGTTCCCTTTTGTCACACTATGAAACCCCTGGAAAAAGTAACAAATGAACGAGCATTTGAATATATTTCTTCCGCTTTCCCTTTCTCTGCCGTCACAATAAGTAAACCCAGCAAAAATGAGCCAATCCACGGGCATTATCTGGAGTGCGGGTAACTGATACTGCACTTCAGTTACCGCACTGTGCATGCATATATATACGATTTAACTCTGAACTATTTCAACAGAAAGGTCCCCAAACTATGATACAACTCTAATATGGTGTATTTACAGGACTTATAAAGGTAATAGTAATTAGTAAGAAATTACGATAAGTAATAAAATATCTAATGTAAATATATGTTCATATGCATTGTTTTCATTTGACAACTGACGTGTCTATAAGAAACTAAGCTTTTATACCCACGAGAAGATTACATCATGGTCACTTCACGTAGAAAAAAGTAATAAACAGCTCGTGAGTGAAAGGTTTGAGAAAAGGCTGGTACATGTATTATCTATTCAATTATTATCTTTAAAGAAAATACATCTTATTGAAATTTGATAATGATATTTAATTAACGTTATTTCCATCATAATTGATTGATTCGAAATTTATTATATCATTTAACAGGGAAGTTTACAAGCCTAAATGCGTGCTGGCCAGGAAGTTGCCATGACAGCCACGTCTTCAGAATGTCAAGTATTGGCAGACACTTGCAAAGTCACAACCAAGGTACTTTTTATAATGTTGATAAATAATGAGTTATATGTTTATCAATGTATTTATTAATTAGAATGAAGCGATTTGGTAACGTTAAATATGTATTATATCTAAGGCAATAAAAATTATATTTCTAAAAAATAACTTATTAAATCGATTTACTACCAAATCATCGTTTTTCTCTATTCTGTAGTATAAACATCAACAGAGAGTATAGGATAACTTACAATTTATTAATTTCAGACCCACAAAATGGATACCTTTTAGGAGACAGTGGATACCCGTGCCGACCATTTCTTATCACACCCTTTTTACAGCCAAGTACGTACACATACACATTTAAATATAAACTTAGTGGTAGCATATTGTTTTAAAAATTCGATCTTTTCATAATTTCTGTTGACATTTTGAGACTGGTGATCAAGAACAAACCGTTCATTTTGTAGGAAACGAGAATGAAGAGCGATTTAACAAAGGCACACATTTCGACACGCAATGTAGTAGAGAGAGTGTTCGGAGTTTGGAAGAGAACCTTTCATATCTTACATGGTGAAGTATGTCATATTTAATACACTTGTTCCAGTTGTATTTCAAAAAGTTCATGTCCTTTATAATTCTCTTATTTAGAAAATTGTCAATGACAATTACATTTGTAATGACATGTACATGTCCTTCTGTTTTACATTACATAATGAACATTCAAACCGCGCGATAAATTTTATTTTTATTTGCCGTGTTGTACGTTCTTAAAGGTTTTGACGCTTACATTTAAAATAAAATTGACACATTCTTTCGATTATAGATACGCATGAAACCACATAGAGTCACACGAATTATTGTAGCCTGCGCTGTTCTGCACAATTTAAGATTACAGTGGGGTGAGCCTCAAGAGGGCAGTGACTCTGACCAGGACCAAACTCCTACAGAGATATTTCAGGGGACTATGGATGGCAAAGGAGTGAGGCAGCACATTGTTCTGACATATTTCTAGGATAAAATATAGTTAGTAAGAACATGTTTTTAGGCAAATACAATCTATTTTTCGAATTTCAAGTTTAACAAATTTTATACTCCACAGTGGCGTAGCTACTATTAGGCCATGTAGGCACGGGCCTACAAGTTAGTCAAGAAAGTAACATTTTCAAAAGTCCCAAAACTACAATAAAACAGGCTACAGTGGAGTTGGTAGTGGGTTCAAGCTGTATAGTCGAATCAAGTGCGTGCGCATGATTTACCATCCTCAATAAAGTATGCATCTAATCAAATTCATATTTTAACATTATTGTTTTGATAATTTTTCTTGAACATACTTTGGAACGCGCATTTTGCTCTTTTTAATCTGAACTTGTTTTTGGCTTCCGGGGGCTAAGCCCCCAGACCCCCTTTTATGTGCCTACAAGTTGAAAAAAGCTGGCTACGCCCCTGCTCCAAATACAATATTTCATTTAAAACATCAAAATTTTAACAAGTTCTGTCCTCAGAACAAAGCACCAAAGCATACATTAAATAGTTTCGTTTATATTAATCAATTTTATATTTCTCTATCAAAACATCAGCCAGCTGTGCAAATTTATTGTAACATTTCATTTGTGTCTCGGAGAGCTGGATCTGCCTCTCATAAAATGTCATCTGTAGATCCTTCAGTGTTCTGTAATATATAACAGAAATTTTGGCGTACATAACATATTTATATAAATGATCAACATTATTTTTTGTCCAATCACATTGTAGTATTTTTCAAATTTCTGCTAAGTCTAACTTTGGTTAATGTGTACTATCTAAATAAAATTTACTTAATCTGCCGTCTAACCTGAGTCTAACAATTTTCAATAATGCATTATATTAGGGAGGAGTTAGAGGTGTGATTTGCACTCTAAATTGTAAAATATCTAGGTTAGCAAAACAATGCCAACGTAAAAAACAATTGGGCGAGGTCAGGTGTTTCTAAATGTGAGGATACAATCAATTAATTTATTACATAGATAATACATGTCATGATGTGGGGCATGCAGAGACAAATGTTTTTTTTTAATATCCTTTTAACTCTAAGAAAAATTCCTGTTATAAATTGCTGACTGTTTTAAACTTCTTTTTTTTCTAGAAAAAGTAACCAAAACATAATTTTCTTTCAATTGATAGGAATGAACTGCATTAACAATCCTTGATATTAAGAATACAATGATTATAAATACATTTTTTGACTGGAAAACTCATGGTAAATGAACCCCCTCCACCTGTAAACCTAGATTGGCACACAAAAAAGCTGTTTTTCAAATGAGCAAATCAATAGGGATTTTAAATGTTAGTGAATAACTTAAAGCTAAATTAAATAATGAATTTGTATAAATTATTAATCTAATGCATTTTCTCACATTTTCCATTTATTTATAAAGGATGTACACATTTCATTAACTCCATTGATTTTACCTAATTGCATCATTTTCCTCGCTGTTTTTTTTTTCAGCATGATAGTCTAACTGTAGATAAAGGTATAAATTCTGTGACATTTCAGTAAAAAATGTGCCTGATTATTTGTTGATAGGGCCATTTATTTAGCTTATCTAAATGTGATATGTTAGAAACTTAACAAGGTGTAGACATCTTGTAGAGCGAAAGGGCGGAGCTATCGGTGATTTAATGAAATGCCTTGTTTTTGGTTGAAAAAATAATGTTGATCATTAAATAGGTTAATGTTTAATAATATGCATTAACAAAAATAATTGGTCGCCTGCCTGCGGCAGGCTTGACCAATTATTTTTGTTAATACATATTATTAAACACTAACCTATACTTAAGTTAAGTATTGTTCTTTTGCGACTAAGTCTGCACGTTCGATATCTTATTTTATCCTGCCAAACCGGTATTCTACCAAATCTTATCAAAACAATTACTGTCATATTCCAACATTTCAAATTTTGTCATTCTATTATGTTACATCATATCATATCCTATCACAAAGCCATATAACGATTTGACAGATTATCTATCATTACATTTTGATCTCTCTAGTTTAAAAAGTTCTTAAAAAAGATCAAAAACATATTTCTTTCAGGCTTACAGATGATGAGAACCGGAGCTGGGTGTGACGGACGTATTTTTTAAATTTTGTGAAATTAATTTTAAATATATTAAAAATATGTTTTAACCTTTTCTGGCGAGTTTTGTTTTTATGCTGCCTCTTTTCATCCGACGTAACTGCAAATAAATGTTACACTTTATTAGATTAATAGAGAATAACATGCTACTGTCTTTTGATATCAATTTTATCAGGCGAGGCTGATATGGGCTAGAAAGGGCGAGGCTTGCCGAGCCCTTTCTGTCCATATCAGGCGAGCCTGATAAAATTGATATCAAAAGACAGTAGCATGTTTTTCTATTTATCATGTAACACATAATAACTGTCAAAATAACAAAATAATCTACTTTTAAATAGCGAATTTCGTTATAAAATGGGGATTTTTGTTCAAAGAAATAATTCTTGAAAACAAATTCCTCCGCCCCTGAAACTGAGAATTTGTAAATGGCGGCCATTTTTTTCTTTCGACTTGGATAAAAGATACAAAAGAATGTAGGCTTAATACGATAAAAATCTTACCTTTAATTTAAACATCGATCCAAAAATCCACTTAGAATCACATGAACTAAACTTTACTGCAATTTTTGTCTTGAATTGTCAATTTCAAAAGTTCACGATAATTTCAATCAAAGAAATCAAATCGGCAATCAAACACAAGCTACTGTACACAACCATGCGTCTTATTTTTTAAACGAAACAATTTCTTCACTTTTTAAATAATAATCCGGCGAAATAAAGTAAACATTTACAAAATTCTGGAAACAAAGTGATCCCTCGGAAGCATTAATCACAACAAAATAACATAAGAATTGCAGACTCGGTTTGATTGAGTCTGTACATGAGGGATAATGAATAAGTGCAACATCCCTCACGCCCCCTAGCACCGGCTTGAGCGGTACTCAATTCTCAACACTTTATAGTGCTGGCATCAATGATCCCGAAGGACCAGAAAATATAACAACACTGAAGTGAAGTACGGGGCAACTTTTTACGGCTGCCACACAGCACTTGACACCTGCTGTTGTGAAGTACAAAATTCTGGAAACAAAGTGATCCCTCGGAAGTTCTCAAAGAAAATCGTCTAGCCTGTTTGTTATGATTACATGTATACTGTAGTGTGACGTGAACATCGATGATGTCATTTGCAATATAAATTATGACGTCACTTCATTTAGTTGGTGCTTAAACTATTCGCTATCTAATTTATTCGTAATTGAAATCGAAATAATAAAATGAATAAATATCGCACCTTGATTCAAGACTTGTAAGGGTATGAGATAACATTGTAGAATTCACATGCTGATGAAAATGAGAATATAAGCAATTGAAAAAAGTCCGTTAAAATGGGCGGGGCTTATTTTTGATATCAGGTTACTGACCTGATATCAAAAATATTTATCAGGCAAGTGTTATCGGGCAGTTACCATAGTAGTTGCATGATAAATAAAATTATTGTGAAATATCGTCATATATATCCCACTTTGAATGTAGGAGAGATAAATTTGATTAACTGACTAGATTGGGATTTTTTCTTCCTTTTTTTACGGTTAACCCGTAATAAAATCACACAAAACTGAAAATTAGGACAAAAGTTATGACGTTCCAGCTTTACTGGTGAAGGAAGACGACAAGTGTTCCTTCATGCATTATTTCACGCACGGGCGACTACTTGAGTATTACAACCGACCTTCCATGAATCTCAAAATTTATAAAATCAAACTAAGATCCACAAGCTTTAGTATGGTAGCAGATAGATGTAATTGTATATGATATACTGTACATCTAAGCTTTATTGAATTTGGTAGATGTGATAATAAAGATTTATAAGGAAAACAAAATTAAAAAATAATCGGCTTGGAGCATTTGTTGCAGACCCCTCTGGATAACTTGCTCTTTGCTGTGTGAAAGTTTCGTCTGCTGTCACCGACATGGATGGCATGTTCATGTTATCTTGAACATCTGCAATATTTCATTTGTAAAAGTCATGCAAAAAGAAACATTTTTGAATATTGAATATTTTTATGAAAAATATAATATCTGAGTATGGGTCATGAAAATTGATTTATATGGGTAAAGAAGACTAAGAAGACTATTCACAACTTAAATGTCATATCTAATAAAATGTATGATACACCTTCCTACAAAAGTACAAATATTACAGAATTTTACAAGAAAAATAAATCATATCTGTCTACAGTAATATTGGAAATTGTCGTAGTTGGGGCTAGTTCTTCCTTTAAAGACGGATATAGCCTTCACTTCAGTGTTGTTATATTTTCTGGTCCTTCGGGATCATTGATGCCAACACTATAAAGTGTTGAGAATTGAGTACCGCTCAAGCCGGTGCTAGGGGGCGTGAGGGATGTTGCACTTATTCATTATCCCTCATGTACAGACTCAATCAAACCGAGTCTGCAATTCTTATGTTATTTTGTTGTGATTAATGCTTCCGAGGGATCACTTTGTTTCCAGAATTTCCATAGCTCACCGAAACAGGTCAACGGGTGAGTTTATTTGTGAATAGAGTTAGGTAAGGCAGGAATGTGTTAAATCGTTGGTGCACACGTTTACTGTGTTTAATAATTGAATAATATCTGTAAAAACTATGTGTTTATTTAATTCTTATAGCATATACAAGTTCAAAAATGTTGAAAATGAAATAAATTAATTACTTTACTGTATTACACATTTGTAAAAACCGCCCACTAAGATAAAGTGTTCTATTCTGTGAATAGTGTGTAAACCGGTAAAATTTTAAACCAGTACTGTATGCATGTGTTAACATATTGGAATGTAATATTAATTATTTATTTATCATTTAGTGACTTGAATAAAATGAACGTTATTGAGGATAATAAGTGCATAATTTAGGAAATGGATAGTGAAATTTATTTCGGAGCTTATTAAATTATGAAAAGGAAATCAGAAGATCCAGACACCTTGTGTTAACGTCTCAAGCGGGCACAAGCTTAGAAGGCCACTGCTAAGAAGATTGTCATCAACAATGTCATAAGTTGAATCATTAAAGTCTGAAAAAAACAATAACACACATTTCATAAGATGGAAACGCTATACATGCATATGACTTACTTTGGAGTGTTTTAATATAATTTATAGACCTTTAGGTCAGGACAATGAAATTGGAAATACAACATGTAACGAATAGTCAGTAGATTTACTGTAAATAAATTAGACCTGACAGTGTACGTACTTATTGTCAAAATATGTCAGTCAGGATTGATGAAGTAATTCAGGTATGTACTCTTTGATATTTACTGTAATACTAAAAGTTTTTTTATAATTATTTTACACATATTCGATTAGATATTTACCTTGGTTTGTGATGACGGTGTCGGCATCAGAACATACACCATGGAATGATGCTGAGGTCTGGAACAGGCTTGCCACAGACTGAGATTGCTGCGACATCTCAGGTCTTGCCGGTCCACCTCCCGTTTTCCTCATACTGCACTTCTCTGCAGAAACTTCACTCTTAGCGTTCTTAACCTGAACAAAACATATTTTTCATATGTGACGTGAAATACATATTGTTTGTATATCTATTACCTATAATCTATAATATAAATAGGTAGATCTCTACATATCATTGTCACCATATTGAATGATTTAGACAAATAAATCAACAAGATAGCTTTTAAAACCTTTGAATATTTTAAAACAAATTGATTAAAAAATACATCACAACCGGTTGCTTATATGTGATAAACGGAAAACTTGAAAACAAACCATATTCCTCCACTTTTCTTTAACTTGTTTGCTCGTTCGGGGGCCGTTCCCGCAAGCATTCACCTCCTCCGTAAGCCTCTCCCAGACCTTAGACACCTTTTGGGAAGCGCCAGGCCCTCCCTGAGCATGACTCGCTTTCAACGAATGTAAATTGATCTTCATAAATTCTGTTATCACATCCGTTTCACGGAGATTGAACATTCTTGCTCTATTTACTTTTGTGGTGGACGCCATTTTGTTTGTAAATATTACCGTCTGACATTTGTTCGGGAAAATTACGTCACGTCGCGGTGCATCATAGGTAATATTACCACGGTTAAACTTTCGGTTTTGCGTGGTTAGGTAACTGCGTGGTTAATTTGTTTATACAATTCGAAAAACCGTGTGGTAACCTAACCACGATATATACCACGGTAATTAACTTACCGCGGTTATATTTAACCATCGTTTTTATACAATTGGCTGCAGGGTCAAGTGTTGATGGCAGCTGTACAAAGTTTGTCCGTATTATTCGTGTTTATATTTTTCTGTTCATTCGGATATTGATTCGATACTATTGAGTGTTGGATAGATTGAGTCCGCTCAGTTGGTGCTCCCGGGGAGCGGAAGGATGTTGCACTGATTACTAATGTAAGACTCAATCAAACCGATTCTGCAATTTTCGCGTAATTTTGGTTGTGATTTATGGCTTCCGAGGTATCACTTTGTTTCGAAATTCTTTAATCCTTTTCGGTTTCAGCAGGATAAATGTTAAACCAAGGGAGCGTCTTAAAACTAATAAAATTATTCAAAATGACCATAAAATCATTCTTTTGCTTGTAATATTTATTTTCCTAGATCTGTTACTACATATACTGGTGACTGACTTCATGTGACGAAAATCACTCCATCGTATCGATGTACTAATTGGAGCTATTCTCGTGTCGGGGAAAATTATGTAGACATTAAATCTAACTATTGTAATGAATGCATAACAAAAATGTTAATTTTCATGAATTTTATTTTCCTTTTGATCTTCTAAATGTTGCCTAACTTCTCATTTTAACAATTACC